CTTGTCGGTATTTATTACCAAGGTTTATACCAGGGTAAAGATCAAACCAGAGAGTGGGACAGTCAATGACTCGCCCAAGCTTAGCAACTTGCAGCTGTCGTCAGTGGCAGACTGCAAGTCAAGTTTAATGCGATTCTGTCGCTCAAGAGGCCTTCGTTGTCGTCTGCACTGACGACACCGAGGCTGAAAAACTCATTACCACCACTGCTACAACCATCTTCGAGATCAGGGATTTATTGTCTTGACTTCCCCAGCTCTGAGGGCCAGGAGAAAATGTATTCCTCAAGAGACTCGACAGGCTCATCACTGCCCAGGCTACGAAGAATCAAGTCGTCCATTGAAGCACAGAACCCTTGGGCCAAGGTGGAATTCATTACCAAAATACCCAATGCCCCCTCATGCTGAATTTCCCTTCAGTGACGTCAACAGGCACCAGAGTCGTGAAGGGCCCTGGCTATTCACCTTCCCGTCAATCCCCCTTCACGAAGCAGAAAAATTCCTTTAAATTCCTTTTTCCCAACTGTTACTCATACCTAATACCACCAAAGATCCCCTGCCAAGAATAAAAAGTTCTGCCCACCGCCCCAAAAAGGGCCCCCTGCATTGTGCCAGAATCATGCTTGGGTTTTTGTATCAGGGTTCCCATATAGTTGAAGAGTGGTAGATATTTTAGCCAGTTTTCTTCAAACTTGTTTTTAAACATTGTGGCAACGTTGCTGACCGGTTAAAAAAGATGAATTGGAGGGTTTTTTTCAATTTGATAGGTGTTGGTTTTGCTGAGGATACTGCCGCCCCGTTTCTACAGTCCCCGTTGAAGTGTAGGGGAAAGTGCAGTGAACTAAAAGAGGGTGATGTTTTTCATTTTTCTTTGGGAATTTGGGGTGGAAATTTTGTAGGCTCCAGAAAAAAGCAATAACTACCCCTCTTTTAGTTCTTTTTCTGGGAGAGAAAAAAATGTAGAAGATCGTTTTGTAGGTAGGCTTCCCGGTAACTTTAAAAGAAAGTTTATTTTCCCCTGTGCGTAAGAGAACTCGAAAAAGGGAATTGTTGTCCCCTTTCCTCCTCTATGTAAATTTTTAAAAGTAGTTCCAGATGTTGATGGGGTTGGGGATGCCCGTACGTCAAGATTTTTGGGTACAATGACCAAATACATCTACGTACCGCATCCATGTAATGAGGGGGATCAAATTTTGATTTGGTCCTCCATATTAAATTGAAGGAAGGCAAAAGGGAAAATCTTCAGCTTTCTCCCCAAAGTTATTTTTTCCCTAGTGCCACCTACTTCATTCCTTCCCGCTCCCGACAGCGCCCGCCGAACAATCCTACAAAGTTACCACCGCCAAAATACAGCAGAAAATACGGCTCTCAAGAAAAATTTCCCTTTTTGCAAACGCAAAGGAAAGAATTGGGAGTGACATCAAATAACCTTTCTTCTTTTGCTCTCAGTGATACAGAAACCGAAGCACTCAGCTTAGGTCTAAGTTTGCTACTGGGATACGGGAAACCCAAATGGAGTTAACACAGTGATCAAAACCTTTTTCGGTGACTTGAGTTTAAAAAAGGTTTCATACAAGGGTTATTGCAGCTGCAGTTTCTGAACCCATCGTCCCGTATTCCCGTCGCTACATCCAGGCACCAAAATCTTAATATAAAAAGATATCCTCATCCCCCCACAAAA